GAAGGTTTGTAAATCAAGTGAAGACGCTTGCGTTGAGTGTAGTCTGCTCGGATAAACAACTACACCTTTTAGTGCTTATCGGTCGCAGGATTATGGCGGCGGATTATCACAACTGCCGCATAAATTCGCTATTGAAGCAAAATTGACTAGAAATACACTCGAGAAGCAGCAGGCAATCAGATATAGATGTCCACAAATTGCTCAAGGTACAGGGCAAACATGGGCATCAAAGCCTAGCCACTTTGTTTGGTTAGGTGTCGGTGTACGTTCTACTAAAGGCTTGAGAAATAGCGCCTGAAGTGAAACTTATACTTGGATCGGAATCGAGTACAATCGGTCAACTAGAAAGATAAACGGATCTACGTGCCCATAAGGGAAATCCAGATGGAAGGCCCAAATCGGATCAGCAAATTAAGAGGAAGAGCGGGCGGGCAAGGTAAACAGCAGATGTGATGATGCCACACTAAACTTGCAATAAAAGGGTACACCTTTTGATGAGTGGACTATAAACAAGTCAAAAGTTGTGCTAGGGTGGGAGTGAGATAAAATGGTAGGAAGTAAATAGATTTGCCAGGACGGAAATAGGAATGATAGCATAACCGTTTGGCAGAACGTTGGTCAGAGGATTGACTTCACTTGTCTCTTTGATGAGTTGTAGCTTGGTACCGGGACTGTACCGAATTTACGATCCAACGATGTCAATTACGATAACTAGTATGGCAGAGGACTTCGGACAAGGTGCATTAACCAGGTGGACTGACCTTATTTTCGCAATTTGGTCTTGTTGTCAGGGCGACTTAGTTGAACGTGCCTCGCCGTATACCAAGCCCACGATCTGATGTTGTGAATTATGATAAATACTATGGCGGAGGACTTCGGACAAAATGCGTTCGACTAAGTCGCTCTGACAACAAGACCAAGTTGCGAAAACCAGGTCAATCCACTTCTATCTTCGAACATTAGTTTTAGATTCGCAAATTGGTGTGCTTTTAGCTTACCGGTCATTATTAGTTAAGTTTTTACACTATTTTTAATAGATTACTAAGGGCTCCACAAATGCTCTTTCCCTTCATAATGTTGCTCTCTGAAACCGTTTTTTTCTTTAAGTGTACAGATGCTGAATCGGTATAATTGCTGCTAGTCTCTATTTGTCTTAATATTATGTGAAATCCCGTAAAGCATTGGTTCCCAAATTTTTCCTAGTCGCAGCTCTCTTTTTCAATTAAAATTTTTCCATGGCGCCCTACCCTAAGTATGACTATTCCTAAGTAAGAGATAAAAAAAATAAAACTCGTGTATCTTCATTATTTTTTTACTTTATTAACATTAAATTAATATTTAATATTTAATGTGATGGATGAGCTTGCAAATTACTACACATTTTCTCAATTTGAAGCTTTTACAATATTTCGCGGCCTCCCTTTAAAGAGGCCGCGGCGCACAGTTTGGGAATTACTGTTGTAAAGCATGGTTTGAAGCTCTGACAATGCCTGTCAAATGACGGACCAAAGCTCAGCTTTCTGGGTAGCATGAAGCTGTTGCTGCTACCTTATTTTCACAAATCCGGTTACAGCTCCAAAATAATCCTCCAGTTTTCGATAGGCTTAATTAACGAATCCCTTTCTTTCGCATTTTCAAAATAACTTAAAGATACAGCACCATTAATTTGTTTAGAGCATTTCGAACTCTCGATTCTTGTCATATCTGGACTGGGAGCTGTTTGCTTTTAAGATAGTCGTTGCATGTGATGGGCCTACATGACAAGATTTTTTATTTGGCTTGGGTCACTTATAAAAAGATTAATTGTTGCTCGATATCCCATTTCGTGATGAAATTTTGGGCTATCGTTAAAGCATCATTTGTAATACATATGCCCTTTCTATATTTTCATTTAAGCATGGTAAAAGCCCTCGCAATAATTTTTTCTTATTTTTACCTCAATTTATTCTATCTGCTTTATCCACTTCCTTTTTCCTTGTCACCCATGCCCCTTCGCGCCCCACCTTTTATCCTTTCCCCTAGCATCATATCATGTGCTATAAACCATAAATGTGGTTTGCATCTTAAGTCATCATCGCATACAAATATTGCCATTTTACACCTCGTAACATGCTCCTTCAACCCACACTATCACGCCTCTTCAGAACTTCTTATTCATATTATTTACTATCAATCTTACTGTCACACTCCGAACCAAAATTTGCCTTTTAGTTCGCTTTACTTGTAGCCCCGTTAAAAAGCATGTCAAATGCCGTCCTGTCAGTGCCTGACAACCTTGTTGACGGGTTCTCTCGTATCCTATCTAGTGGTGTTGTTGGTAGCGTAGCATCTTCTTTGCCAAGCGCATCTAATGCTAATAACTCTGCGTTTATCGGGCCCCGGCGAATTGAGTCTTTCGGAGCTGGCATCGTCTCAGCCGCGGCCGGTTCTTTTGGAATGGGGACAGGCGCTGGTGGTGTTGGGTTTGGCCGCTGGATCAGCGGTACACCCTCGGGAAGCTTCTCCGATGGGGCTGGAATTGACCAGGTAAATAGCCTTTTCCCATCCTCTATATGCATAA